CCACGTTGAGACCCCAGCCATCGCGCATCTCATCGCGCGATCACGTGAGGCCCTTTTCGAGAGTTAGCCGTGTCGCAGTTTGCAGCATACAAAGCGTTGTAGCTCACTAATTGAAAGAAGAATGGTATATGTATACTTCAACTGAGGGTATATAACATTGTTTGCAAAACATAGCTTCCTTGTAGGCGTCTGATGGGGCGCCAATCCAGCTGATCCCGGTGCTATCCCATGAAGCCACGACGGAGTGACGATGATGGAGAAGATCCACCAGTTTCCTCTTGGCCTCTGCTCAAGTCACGTCAATTAGCGGGCGATCCTCCCACGCCAATGGTAGGTTCCACGATATGGTCACGCTAACGTCATCGCGTTCCACACATTCCAACGGCATGATGTCCGCCCAGCGCCGAACGCTTGTCACAAGGCCAGCAAACGGCGGCTCAAGTACTATGAGATCACTCCGGATCTCATCATACCGCCATAATTTACCAATGCAATAGCCTTCAGTTTGCTCAACCTCCACAGCGGTTCTAACCTTCACTCAACTCACGATCGGCTAGTGTCTTGAAAGCGACATCACCATGTCACATCATTCGTCGCTCAATGACAACACGGGTACGCCTTCAAAGTGAACCACCCTAATTGCATGTTCACTAATCCATGATAGAAAGTGCATCTCTACCTCGACGCAAGAAGGAAGTGCAAACCCGCATGAAAGATGGCAAAGAGGTCGAACTCCACACTTGGGACGGTCCACAAGATCCTGACAACCCGTATGTTCCTCGAGACTCCACCTGAACTCAATTGCTGATGGAAACCAGGTTCAACTGGTCAACCAAGTACAAATGGTTCTTGACAATAACCGTTTGCTTCATCTCCATCTTGACAGGTCTTCCGGCTGGGTCTTACGGCGCTGGAAACGAGTACATGGCAACACTATTCAACGTTCAAAACGAGCCGTTTCCAAACCTTTACTGGGCGACGTGTTCGTGGAATATGGGTGCTGCTATATTCCCACTACTATTCGTACCTTTGACCGAAAACACTGGTAGAATGCCTGGATATTTTGTAGGTTTGGGTGGCAGCATAGCCCATCAAATCGCTAACCCCTGCGCAGGTCGCCTACATCGTGTTCGAATTGTTCCTGTTCGGCTCAGCCTTTGCCGATAACTTTGCAACCTTGGTCGTCACCCGTTTCTTCGGCGGTGGCGCATCTTCCGTTTCCATCAACATCGTGGGCGGCAGCATTAGCGATGTATGGAAAGGTGACAAAGCTCGGAGTCTGCCAATGTCCATTTTCGGCTTCACGTCCGTAGCTGGTATTGCTCTTGGACCCTTCGTGGGTAGCGCAATCGTACAGCTTGGCTATCCTTCCACTGGACTACAATCCCCTTGGCGATGGTAAGCATCTGCATTATCTGATTGACCCAACTAACGAACATGCAGGATCTACTACATCCAAATCATCTACAATGCGGCCCTACTCCCAGTGTTCTACATAATCCTCAAGGAAACTCGTGGCGACGTCATCCTCAAAAAGCGCGCCCAGAAGCTTCGCAAAGAAACCGGTCGCGAAGTCTACGCAGAATCAGAGCTCGAGAAGCCCTCGATAGCTAGCTTGCTCAAGGTTTCATTCATGCGACCTACCAAAATGCTATTCACCGAGCCTGTCGTCACCTTCTTCACTCTTTGGATCAGTTTCGCCTGGGGTATCCTCTTCCTGTTCTTTTCCTCGGTCGTCCAGACCTTCAGCGCTAGTTACGGTTTTGGAACCTTTCAGACCGGTCTTGTTCAGCTGGCAATCACCGTTGGAGCGCTCATTGGTACGCTCATTAATCCCTTGCAGGATTGGATGTATCTTCGCTCTGCTTCCAAGAACAAGGAACGCCCTGGCAAACCCATACCCGAAGGTCGCTTATACACCAGCATCCCTGGTTCCTTGCTCTTTACTGCGGGACTGTTCATGTATGGATGGACGTGTCGACCAGAGATACATTGGATCGTGCCTGCGATAGGCATTTGCATCGTTGGTGTGGGCATCTACTCCATTTACATGGGTGTAGTCAACTACCTCACGGATGCTTACGAGAAATACGCTGCTTCTGCACTTTCAGCCGCATCGCTTGGTCGTAACACGTTCGGAGCCTTTCTACCTTTCGCTTCATATTCGCTCTTCCAGAACTTAGGGTTCGGTTGGGCTGGCAGTCTACTGGGCTTTGTAGGACTAGCGTTGAGTCTTGTGCCTGTGGTGCTACTCCTGAAAGGGCGTCAGATCAGGGCAAAGAGTCCTTTTATGTCAGAAGCCACATTCGACGATAGGGATGACGACGAAGAAGTGAATGATGGCAAGAATGGTGCGAGTCATCGAGGTACATTTGGACCAGCGGGCGTCGCAGGTGGGCCACCTGGCGCAGTGGACGAGCATGTCTAGATGGCACACGAGGTCATGCAATATGGGTGATAGGTAGTTAAAAGGTCTCCTTGAGTATTCTATAGATCATTAGCTCATTTGCCACAGGTGTGCCGTCTGAACACCTTCCGCCTGAGATCTTTCTCTACAATGTGCAATCGGGCGATCGCTTCGCAGACCTCAACTGAGAGAGTTAAGGGCTATATTGTACTATTATCTAACGCAAAGCTAAACGCGGAGACCATGTATTCACTAGCAGAGTGGATGTTGCGAGAAAGGGTCCGGTCAAAGCGCGCTGTCGCAGGCAACTCAAGCGCTAGTCCTGGAGTGGGCTGCACCTTGCGTATAACGTCTACGGCGAGAGTATTAAAGGGACTTCTCTTGTTCTTCCACCACCACTTGTACGCTCCTGGGTACTTCGTATACATCGTCTAGTTCATCAGACGCTCTGTTGTAGCTCCCGCGCACCTCTACCGTTGGCGGCCAAAGCGACTGTTATTGTACTACTTCACGAAGCCATCCCATCACCACATTAACTTCGCCGGACTATCACATACCTACGAAATGGCGCATCCACCCCAAGGACTACTAAGCCTCCCGAATGAGCTTCTCCGCGATGTCGTTGCGCCCCTCAGTCCAGCCGACCTCCGCCACCTGCGTGAAGTCAACCACCGAGCCCTCGACTTTATCCTCGACTATTCTCGACCATGTTTCACTGGACTCGCCGAGCTACCAAACGTGCTTATTTTGGAGGTTGTCGCGCATTTGACCGACAGGGATCGAAGCCGACTTGCACGGACGAACTTTCGATTCTACTCCCTGATTATGGACGCTATCCTGGACAAAGAGGTGCGGACACAGGGGGTCAAGCTACTCGAGTTAGCATTGAGGACAGGAAGCAAGGGCTTGATGAGACGACTCCTACTCAAGGGTACGGATGTGGATAGACAGTTTTGCCATGGCTGGGGTTACTATCTCAGTGACAGCTGTTACTTGGCAAGTTCACATGCCACAACACCTCTGACATCCGCTGCGTACCACAGCGACGTAAAGATGGTCGAACTACTCCTACAGTTCGGTGCAAACGTGCACGCACTTTCCAACTACTGGATCCATGAGGGATACAGAATGGGTATACGGTCGGCCACACCACTATCATTTGCAGCATATCTTGGAAACAGACGCATAGCTGAACTGCTCATAGAAGCGGGAGCGAGTCCGATAATCGAGGGTAGGTCTGAGATGCTCTCTATAGCTATAAATAGACGACACGAGCCCATCGTTTCATTGCTTTTACAAGACCTAGACTCTGCCAAACAGCTTAGCGCGTCAGTCATAAGAGAGCTCATCCAAATGGCTTCCGGAAAACACTTTCGATGCCTTTCCACAAACGTAATCACACAACACGAGCACGTCATCCTACGGCATCTGCCCCCTGCATCGGTCGACAAAAGTCAAGTTCCAGAGTATATCCTTGCAGAATTCATAAAGTACGCTGCAACTGGAAAGCTCGCTATGGTTGTCAGTCATCTTCTACAAATCAGAGGACGACTACAACTCCAGAAAACAAGCTACCTCGACGCAGCACTACAAAGCGTCATCTCGCTCGACGCCCGTAAAGAAGACGTCCTCAAGAGGGAGCTGCATCAAGACGTCTTTCAGATTGTTCAAGCATTGCTAGCCCATGGTGCAGACCCCGATTCTGTCGCCCAGGGAAAGTCTGCCCGAGACATGGCGACAGCTCATCCGGACCCTAGGGTGAGGAACCGACTAGCGAGAACAGTACAATCAAGCCGGCCTGCAAAAGAGCTACCTTCGCTGATCGGACGGTCACTAACCAATCCGTCGCAAGCTTTGTCAACATATCGTCGGCCACAAGAGGATCGACACTCAGCAAGCTTATGGGACTTTGTGGGGTCCCGCAATCAGCACGATCCACGTGGAGGCCATAAGAGCGATGAGGATAGCGTCCCTGAGAGTAATGACGTTGTTACAAGTGGTGGTCAAACCCAGGGTACAACGATGTCAGCTTCAACAACTCGAGCTATCATTTCTGAAGGGCAAGCAAAGCTGCAAACAAACGCAGCTTCGCCTCCGCGTTTACACCCTCAGCATGCTGACTCAGCGTTGGACTCAATTGTCCCAACACAAAGCGCATGGGTCAACACTTCCTCGAACATTCGTTCCGCCCCTACCGCTGAGGAAAAGCTCTCGATGGAAAAGCCCATCATTCGTCCCAAGCCAACAAGAAGGATGCCTAGTCCTCATAGGTACAGGGTTGAGATACCCTTCGGGTATCAGAGAAGCAAAGATACACCAGCAAAGATAGAGTGAGAGAAAGAGTGCATGGGATAGGTCCTCAGCTGATCTCTGATTGGCCAGAAAATGCATCTAGGTTCATTCGAGGCTGAACAGGAGATGAAGTAACAGAGAAAGGAAAGCAATAGTAGACACGAGAACAACGACAATGAAGCGGATGCTGTGAGCGATTCTTGTATCTATTCTAAACACTACATATTCAAACATGTTCTAATACCCGTGCATGTCCAGATGCACGCCCCTGGGTACAACCCGGGGAGATCGTTCAATCAACTCAGAACGCAACAGCCTTCATACCGCGCTTGGCGGGCATGTTGGCGATCTCGTCGCGGCGACGAGATGAAGTGAGGAAACCAGCAGGATACTCGACGACGGCGTCGCCAGACTCTGCAGCTGGTGCTGGTGCTTCGGCGTCGTCGTTCTGCTCTTCAGCAGCGACAGGCTCGGCGTCGGCGGCTTCGTCCTGCTTGTCTCCCTCGTCCTTCTTGTCGTCCTCTTGGGCGGCGTCTTCCTTGTCGTCGGCTTCAGCTCCGTCTTGCTGCTCGGCTTGACCCTCCTGTGCCTTCTTGTCCTCTTCCTCTTGCTTCTTCTTGTCTTCTTCGGCGGCTTTGGCGTCTTCGTTGGCTTGCTTCTTCTCTTCCTCAGCTGCCTTCTTGTCGGCTTCTTCCTGCTTCTTCTTCTCTTCCTCAGCAGCTTTAGCGTCGGCCTTCTCCTTAGCCTTAGCGTCTTCAGCCGCCTTCTTCTCTTCCTCGGCAGCCTTCTTCTCCTCTTCTTTAGCAGCCTTGTCTGCCTCTTCCTTAGCCTTCTTGTCTGCCTCCTCTTGCGCCTTCTTCTCTTCCTCAGCGGCCTTCTTGTCGGCCTCCTCTTGTTGCTTTGCCATCTCCTCAGCGGCCTTCTTCTCTTCCTCAGCCTTCTTCTGCTCCTCTTCCATCTTCTTCTTCTCCTCCTCAGCTGCGCCCGGTGCCTCGGTGGCCGCAGGCTCAGCAGCAGTCTCGGTGGCGGAAACGGTCATGTTGGCAGAAGCAGTGGCGTTCGCAGCCTCACCCATTACCAAAGAGAAACTCTCAGTGACCATGGGTGCAGGTGGTGCAGCGTGGGTCATGGACATGTTACCGGCGGCAGGGGCTTCGGGAACGACAGTGACGGCAGCGGGAGGAGGCATGGTGTGCTCTGGTGCGGCCTGAGTCTCCTGAGGCGGCATCTCAGCTGGTGGAGGCATCTCGGCAGCAGGTGGTGGTGGCATCATGGTATGCTCGGGTGCTGCTTGAGTCTCGTGTGCAGGCATCTCGGCTGGTGGAGGCATCTCAGCGGGCATCTCAGCAGGTGGCGGTGGCATCTCAGCAGGAGGCATCTCAGCCGGTGGTGCAGGCATCTCCGCAGGTGGTGGTGGTGGCATCTCAGCCGCAGGAGGTGGCATGGGGTGTTCAGTGACCATAGGAGCGGGGGGCTGTTCGACCATAGCCGTAGTCATCGGTGCAACAGTTTCGTGAGTGATAGCCTCGGCTGTAGTTGTTGCTGCAACCTCCTCAGTGGTGGTGGCTGCGGCTGAGATACTGGCCATTTCTTGAGATACGTGCATGGCCTCCATAGCATCCGCCGAAGACTTGTGAGCGGCATCCTTGGCCTTCTCAGACGCGGCATGCATGGACTCCATAGCATCTGCAGAGGCCTTGTGAGCGGCGTCCTTGGCCATCTCGGAGGCCACGTGCATGGCTTCCATAGCAGCGGCAGATTCTTGGTGAGCCTTCTCCTCTGCCTCCGCTTTCGCTTGGTGTTCGGCCTCCATCTTCGCCGCAGCTTCCTGATGAGCCTTCTCCTCTGCTTCAGCCTTGGCTTGATGTTCGGCCTCCATCTTCGCAGCAGCTTCCTGGTGCGCCTTGTCCTTGGCCTCCGCCTCTGCTACGTGCATGGACTCCATAGCGTCGGCGGCTGCCTTAGCAGGGTCAACTGCTGGAGCGGGCGCAGCCTCGCCCATGTGTTCGGTACGCGCCACAACCCTCGATGGGATGTCGACATTCCGGGGAAGAGGGCCAGCAGCGACAGCGGCCGCTGAAAGGAGGGTGAGAAGGGGGTATATCGTCTTCATTATGGGGGATTTGGGTGAATCTAGAAGGACAGGAATGAAACTTGAGTCTTCGTTATTACGACGGGAAAAGAGAGAATGAAGAGCTCAGCTCAATAAAATTAAACACTAGTGCACGGCACTTTGAAGAAAAGAAGGTAGGTGTTTGAAGACGACTTGATGTGAGAGTGGGCAGAACTTATGAGGCTCGGGGTTTCGCGATATATGTACCTTGCCCGGTTCTTTCGGCATGGAGGAGACTCAGGACATACCCCTAGAAGCAAACAGATCATCTGGAGCAGTTCCACACTTGGTAGTGTTTGATGGATTCCCGGCATCGTTTTCGCCATGTCGAGGATGCCTTGAGGCGGTTAGGCGCCTAGGCAGGGTGACGACGACGCTGTTCCCCCACCCGTCTCGAACACTTACAGCTGCCTCTCCACCGTGTAGACAGCATTGACAGTGCTTGGCATGCACGTTACCGGGCTAAATCCATGTTCGCGATGAGGCGCACGCTGCGATCGACCAATCAGATGCGTACCTGACGAGGGAGAGGCAGAGAAGCCTGGATCCGCTCGCCAAAGTCTTGGCCTGACAGGAACCGTCGGAGAGTATGTAGCAAGTCAGGCTGCAGGAGTATTGCAGTGTTGAGGCTCGCTTCATCGGCGGGGACGCATGTATGCGTGTTGGGGTTGTGATGCGGACAAGGTTTCAGCAGCCCAAGACGGGCAAGTTCCCGGGTGTCATGGCAGCCACGAGCCCCAGGCCCAAGCCACAACGACGTTCGGAGACCGACATGATGTCAAAATGTCCAGGGAGCTGTTTGGACATTGCACCTCCGAGCGTGCGTTTGCAGAATTTGCAGTCGGGGGTCTCTTGGTTTCATGACACTCTAGGTCTCGGGTGCGACATCGTCCGAGGTCGAGAATGTTCACCAAGCAGTGATGGACGTTCTTTTTTTCCAGGAAAGGATGGACTCGTATGATGGGGCTATAGCGACCAAGAGAATCGAAACGATGATGCAAGTATTGAGCAGTCTTGAGCATCTCCCCGCAAAAGAAAAACCAAACATGTTGACTGCTACAATAGCATATACCATGACCGAGCTAATCTCAAAGCCTACGTTAATGTTAGATTGCTTTGCCTTACTTGATCCATTCTGGTGCTGGCTGCAAGATGTGTTTGATTCCCTACTGGAAGAAGGTGGCTGAAATGTCTGGTGCCTGGCTGCCTGGCATCAGAGGAAAGATTCCGCGTGATGCAGATGGGTCAAATGCGGTGAACAAACGTCGACGTGTGTGTTTCTCGTATAACTTGGGTCTCGTACGAAAACGCCAGGGCTGAAACGTAGTTAGGGGCTTCGGGTAGGGAGGATATCTGTAACCGTTAGTACGTGCAAAGGGACTTAAAATCCGTGCCTGTCATTCACTTCGAGGCGTGACTTTCACTCCGAGTAGTGACCTCTGGATTCACCGGTACTTTTAGACGATGCTTATTATGGGCACGCCTTACCGCCTTTGCTCGCCAAGCAAATCCGCTTCCATTGCGGCCCCGTCTTATAAGATCAAGCAATAGCTTGAAAGCCGCCCATCGTTGTCCGAATGTTCGCTCAAGTTTCCTCGCGCTCAGGGGCGGAGTACGGAGCGGCCGCACTATGGGTGGTTTTCCGCACGGAAGAGCAATCGGCCGCATCCGAGTACTACCATCATAGCAACGGCCCTATCCCCATCAATCCGCTGCGCTGCCAAGCAGAAAGAGGCAGTGTTAAGGGCACCGAGTACAGTAGCAACGACGGCATTGTAGGAGTCGCATTGTCATAAGATGCGGTTACGGCCAACCAGACAGGGTGGCATTTAGGCGAGCAGTTACTTGGATGCTTCCTTTCCTCTACGGGCCAACTGCGCCCCGACGAAATGAGCAATTGACGTCACAATGCTTTGTGCTTACTCCCGGGGCTTGGCCTACTTCGTTGATGCTGCCGCGGTGTTGCTGTGCAGTGGCGCCAGCACTACTTTGTGGTGGTCGCGTGCTCAACGAGGATGGGCACGCGACACAGTTGGAAGATGGGAACGGTGAATACGAGTCGAATAACGATGAGATGGGAGGAAGCCTGTGCCTTTAGCGGGTTGCGCGCCGCTGCGCATGTCCCAAGCCACTAAAGTTGAAAAAGTGGGACTTTGATACGCTGTACGCACGCTTTGATCAAGACGTCTGACCTCCTTTGCCGGCAACCCGGGGCTTCGCGAACTTGTAGCAAGCACAACCATAGGCCCGCTAAGCATCGAGTGAAGCAGGCGGACTCCTCTCCTCTCCACCTGAGCTGAACCCTTCCCCTCTTTTGTTTCCCGTCACTCCTTTACCTGCCCAGGTGTGTTGTCAACATACTTTGTGTCGGACGACAACCCTCCGCGCGTACCCGGGGATAAAATAGAGCCGACGATTACAACCACTACCGGACCACCTTGAGCAGCATTTTCTACGAGCATCCCGAGCCGGCGCACGCGACACATCATGGCGAACACGACGTTAGCAGACAATGGCCAATGGAACAGCAAACCAGCGTGGAAGCTGCCGGGATGGTGCGAACCTGTTGTACGTAGCCAAAACCACTCCACAGTATTCGTATACACACAGCAGCATGCTGACAGCGTCACGCGCAGATGGTTGCCAGCATACTTTTCTTCGCCATGTTCATAACACGAAAGCGCGACTTTAAAATCTTCGGCCGGTCATCACAGCGCACCGGCTTCCTCGACAACACCCCGAACGAGTCTACCGACCGCCTCCTCCAGTCCGACAGCGACAGCGAATTCGACGAGATCAGCGCGGTTAAGAACCCCAACGCACCCAAAGTTCGAAGCATCTTCTGCTGGAGGGTCACAACACCCAACACATCGCGTTTCCGCCATCATGTACACAGTCGCATACTGCAGCGCTTCCCTTTCTTAATTGAGATGTTCTATTGGGTTATCAACTATGCCTTCTACCGCATGACTGGCGTCGTATCGGCCAAGCTCTTCGCTGGGCGCGGAATATGGGACGTATCTCAGGAACACGGAATTGCAGTACTGGAAGCGGAAGAGTTTGGCCTTCTAAGGTTCCTGTTCCCGGTCCGAGAGAGGGACGTACAACAGTGGTTCATGCATGGACATCAAGATGCGCTTACGGTGCTGAACAAGTGCTATGCGCTGATCCACATCCCTGGAACTGTTGGGTAAGTTTGCTGTGGCATAACTTCTTGCATCACCACTGACATTTTCAAGCTTCATCTGCTGGTACTACTACGTAGCCCCGTCATTTGACACTTTCGCCATCGCCCGCCGAACCCTCACCCTCACCAACTTCTGCGCTTTCATGACCTTCGTTGTATACCCATGCATGCCACCGCGACTTCTACCCACCGAGTACGGCTTCCTCGACACCGTCCGCCACGACGACGCACAAAGTGTATGGATGAGTGGCAAGTTTGTCAACCAACTCGCAGCGATGCCTTCGATGCACTTTGGCTACGCATTCTGCATTGGCATGACCATGATCTACCACTCAGGTCTTTTCCGCCGCACCTTGGAACAGGGCGAAGTGCGCAAGAATGCCTTCTGGAAGATCTTCTACCTGATTGTTGGAATAGGATACCCCTCTTTCATCCTGACGGTCATTGTTGCCACGGCTAACCATTACTTCATGGACGCCTTGGTGGCTACCTGCTTCGTCTTCTTCTCTTTCCTTTGCAACAAGGTCTTCTACGTCTTCATCCCGCTCGAAGATCTCCTGCTTTACGTTATCCGGGCAGACAAGCCCGTTCCTACAACCGGTGACCGCTTCCACGAGAAGGGTGGTCGGTTATAGTTTGGCAGCTTCATCTCGGCCTTTGATTTTGGTTAATTACCACGGTCGCTTACACTTCGTCGCATTTACAGGACATAGCATTACAGGCGGCGTTGGTCAAAGCAGTACACGCATCGCACTTGGTTATTAGACACGCGGCGGTTTATATGTACATATTCTGAATTCATACTCGAACATTATCCTTCGATCCCTTCTTCGGTTGTTGCTATAACTGGATGCTGACCAGTCGTACCTGTGGACGCAAGCTAGAACGCGCCAAGGCCTGTTCCTGCGTTAGCGCAAGTGAAAGCTCCCCAGCATTCGCGACGCGTCCGAGCTCCCGGCGTGTGCCAGCCATCATCTCCAACCTCCCCCTCAGCACTCCGTAAGTCAGTCCACCCATCACCAGACGCGATTCGTGCAGGACGCTATAGCGCTTCACTCTATCTACTTTTCGCAAACCATACTGCTTGTCGTGCGCTGACATTCCATTCCGGGACAGCTACTCTTGAGCTACAGATAGCTTCATTCGCTTTCGCACACCGTCCCTCGTTCTCGCAAACACAGAAACGCAGTCGCCATGGCGGATCTCGAGCAGCAAACCCCGATTGAGGGCACACCGATCGACGACATTGAGATGGAGGGTGCGGGTGATGCTGGAGCTGGCGCAGGCGAGGAGACAACTCTCTTGCCGGAGATTGAGCCCGAAGCACCCAAGCTGGTTCTCTTCGCTGAGTAAGTCACGGCCTTGTACATTTTCTGGTTCGCTGGATTGGATAGCTAGCTCGCTTGAGACGAGGTGCTACTATCGGGCGCATGAAGTTTGCCAGCTCTGAAGGGCTGAAGGCAACGCGCGCAACACCACTCTCAGCTCTATGGGCTACTAGCATCTATTTCCTGGCTCTGGAATGCTAGCGACACGCATCATGAACGCGCGGCTAACATGCGACCAGTCTTATGAAGAGTCCGATCGTTGAAGTCGTCGTTGGCTCAGGAGACAACCGCACCACATACTCAGCACACGAGGCAGTTCTCGTCAAGTCACCAGAGTTTGCCAAACAGGTCGAGAAGTTTGCGCCAGGAGGGGTACGCTATCACGCCCTCAGCGAGTAAATATGCGCTCACTAACAGTCTCCAGCCTCGTCAAATCGTCTACACAGATTGCGATGTCGATGCCATGGGCTCAGTCGTCGAATACC